TATTTAGCACATCATGCTTGAAATAAGATTTTTTTGTATCTCTTACATCCAGTGCATCCTAATCTATTTGATCTTTAGGTAAATTTGTTTATGCATTTTGAAGCTGGATTTTACTATTTGGTACTTGAGTGTTGTCTCATAATTAAACGCATCTTGCTTAAAATAAGTTTTTTTGTACCTCTTACTTGTAGTGCATCCTAATCTATTTACTCTTTAGGTACATTTGTTTTATGCATTTGGAAACCCATTGTTTAGAGATAAAGGTTGTGGTTCATTTCTTTCCTTGACCGGTCAATATCCTTTTAATATGAATCCTAACTTAGAAACTCTCTGATTAAAAAACTTGAATTTAACTAGCTAACAAGATTATATGAGTTAGGGCCAAGCTGTCTTAGTGTCTTTCAGTCTTTCCTTTTGGTTGGTGGAACCGTTTTCGAGACTGACACTTCATGGTTAATTACCTCTTACTGCATCGGTGCACCTTCTCTTCATTTATTTACTTTTTCAGCACTTATCCTTGATATACTTTTTCTGTTAACTAAAACAAATACGAGGTATTTTAACTTGATTTTATTAATTTACACCCGGAATATCTAAGATGAGGATTACATGTTATCTCTCTCTCTCTCTGTCACACACACAGTCACCCACACACCCATCCATATGCTCCCTCCACAGAATTAAAGTCCTACTTTCCAAATTGAGCATCCCAAAATTAAAGTCACATTTCCTTATTTGGCATAACTACACTCACTTAATATACTATATTACCTCTACCTTTTCAATTGTTTTTTCCATCTTTTCAATCACTTTTTACACAATCTCTCTTATTTCAATCACTTTTAATTCCTCTCTCCTACTTTTTCCATCTTCTCAAATCTCAATGACTTTATACACACTCTCTCTTTTTTCAACCACATTGAGTCAGGAGTAAAATGAGCAAGTCAATGCCATTCTTAACATTGCCATAGTATGTGAAGTCAAAGCGGGACTTTGATTTCGGGACGGAGAGAGTATATGTGTTAAGTCATCAAGAGTATATCAATGTCCTAAGATTAATCACCATGATCATTGATCACACACCTAGGAGGCTAGGACAAGTGGCAAAACTAGTGCTTATTTAGCACTTTTCTTGTCTATCTGGATGTTCTTGTGATATTAATGCTTCTAATCCTCTTTTTTCAGGATGCAGGATCTCTGGCCTGCGCTAGAAGGGGCTGGATAAATGTGGATGTTGATAAGATTGAATGCGAGTCATGTGGTGCAAACCTCAAACTTACTTCCTCAACTACCTGGACTCCTTCTGAAGGTTGATTGTGCAATTAACTATCTGGTCCCTTGCACAGTTTGCATACTTTCTTTTGCTGACTTACCTACTTTTCTGTACTGTCCTTTTGATAAGGCTATTGTATTGCTCCCATATTTTGCCCACAGTATTTTACCACATTGTTCACTCTACCTTATCCTTTGGGCACCCTTTTTTACTTCACAATTTTCAAAAAAAAAAAATTCAAGTTTATAACATCTGCCTAAACTTACCCAATATGTCGTTAGCCGGGGTCTTCACGGAATAAACCTCTCTATTCCTAAGAGGCTAGGAGTAGTTGTAAGGCCTGCGTACAATCTTATCCTTCCCGGACTTTACTTCTAAATGGGACATAGTCACATAGTGGGTATGTTTGGGGCTTGGTTTTATACTTTTCTATTTTTATACTCCCTCTGTCCAAAAATTATCTTCCCGTTGCGCATTATGATGTTTGACTTTGAATTCATTTTCAAAGTATTTTTTATGAAAAATGGTATGGAATTAAAAAATAAAAATAACATATCTAAAAACTACATCAAAAGCTCTAGAAAACTAGAGGTGACATGACTATATTATTTTGTTAATGGACAACATAAATAAGCCAACAAAGTGAATAACATTTGACCCTGTGAATAGTGAATGAGAAGATATTTTTTGGACAGAGGGAGTGTAAGTAGTGAGGGGTCAAATATTTATAATGCAACCTTGGTTCTTTTATTGACATCACATACATGCCTACTTCAACAGTCTAGCATTCAAAAAGTAATAACCATGAGTGGAGGGGGTTGGGGTGTTGGGCTTTAGGGATGTTGAGGCGCAACTATCTTCAAATTTGGAACCAACAAATCCAACAGCATTAATTCTTCTTCCTATTGTTCCAAACAAGAGGTAGATACACAAATACCCATTTTTGTCTATTGAATTTTGATTTCTACCTTTTGAGCATGCTAAGACCTTTTCTTAGGTGGTCTACATTCCACACCAAGATTGTCAATACCCAGTGTAGGGGAGGTTTTAAGGTGATCATTTTTTTCTTTCTTTTTTTTGGAGTATTTCTGTCATTATGAAGTGGAAACTTGAAGTATATATTTGAGGTAACCTTTTCTATATAGATATCTATTACTTTCGAGGGACAATCACCACCCGTCCTCTTTGAAACTTCAGCTGGAAGATGAACAATTGAACTTTGATTAACTGGGTCTCAAGAGTTGACCGAGACGAGAGATTTTTTCACTCTCCAAAATATATATATCCTTTTTTTGGCTCTACACTTCCAACAATCACATTTGGGTGCATCATTTTATAATAGTCATTGGTTAAATTATGTATCAACGAATCATTTTCTTACCAAATTAGCAATCAATGGATCTAGTTTCTAACCAAATGCTCAATAGTTCAGAGGTTGATATTTTTGGTTCTATACATTCATGTGATGCGGAATTGTTGGTAATGGTGATGGCGGTGAAATGATGATAAAGTTCATGTTATGTGGGTGCACTTTGTCAAGCACCAAACAGTTATTTTACCAATTGCATTGCCAACTTTTTAACTTCAGTGAACTATGTATATTATGAGCATTTTCTCATCGAGGCACATGGAATCATCTTTCATAATTGTGAATTTTGTGTATCACATTTCTAGTCTTACCCGTTCACTTTAAGCTTGTACTATGTGCCTTTATTCAGCTACTTTTTTCCTTGTCAGCTTACACTATGCTTGATAAAATGTTGTTGCATGCCTTTTATACCTATTGGTCTAATCAATAAGTTATCCTTTATAGTTGATATAGCCGGTGAAGATTTTGCAAATAAACTTGATGAAGGGCATAAAGTCACATGTCCATGGAGAGGGAATAGCTGTGCAGAAAGCTTGGTCCAATTCCCCCCCACTCCTCCTTCTGCTCTAGTTGGGGGTTTTAAGGATCGTTCAGACGGATTACTTCAGTTCACTTCTCTCCCTATAGTGGCTGCATCTGCAATTGAGCATATGCGAGTTTCTAGAGGTTCAGAAATTGACAGTTTTCTAGCTCAGTCACAAGCTCTTGGAAGTGCTGAAACTTTCTTTAGGCCAGAGGTTGTGTCCGGAGCTGAAAACTCCAGTGATGTTTTCCTCATATACTCTCGTGTAAGATTGTCATACTTTGAACTACTACTTATTATTGTGCCCCTTTTTCATTTCTGAACCCCTTTGTTCAACTTTTTATCACACTTTAGGCCCAGAAGCTAATAAGCCTATGTGGTTGGGAGCCAAGGTGGCTTCCAAATGTCCAAGACTGTGAAGAGTATTCTGCTCAGTCAGCTAGGAATGGATGTTCAACAAGTCCAACACAATATTGTGCTCCTTTACCAGATTCTGGCCGTGGAAAGATGGTGCTGTTTTGTTCAAAGAAAAATGACACTTTTAAAACCGAAGTTTCTTGTCCCATTTCAAAAGGCGAATCTAGGTCACCTTTGTTGGATTGCAGTTTGTGTGGAGCTACAGTGAGAATCTTGGATTTTCTTACAGTTTCTCGTCCTGCATGCTTTGCTCCCAATAGCATTGAAATCCCCGAAACAAGCAAAAAGATGGGCTTGACACGAGGGGTAAGTGCAGCAAGCGGAATAAGTGGGTGGATTGCTACAGATGGTATGGAAAAGGAGCAGATAGAGGATCATGATGAAGCTACAACGGATGAGAGAAGGCCACTATCAAATAATGGTATGGACATTAATCTTACAATAGCTGGTGGGCTCTCCTCTTCACAACTACCGGAAAATTTAGGTTCTGATCAATTCCAAGATGTGCACAAGAGAAGAGGTCCAATGATAGGACAGCCTTCTAGCAGTGAGGCTGGTAACCGTGCTGCTTCATATGAGTCACGTGGTCCTAGTTCTCACAAGCGCCATTTAGAGGAACGTGGAAGCACTGCTGACCGCCCACAGTTGATGTTACAACAAGCTGACAGTGCCGAGGGAACAGTTATAGACCGTGACGGAGATGAAGTCAATGATGAAAGTCAATACTTGGCTGGTCCTTCAAAACGCCCCCGTGAGTCATACCCTCTAGATATTAATTACTCATCATATGGGAAAAGTGCAGTTGGTGCTGCCTCTATTCTGGCAACTGGTTTTGAGGTTGGAATAGATGGTCCAAGAGATGATCCTTTCAACCAAGGCCACAACCAGGCATTTGGTTTACCAGCTAAAAGAGATTCAACGCGTGTTTCATCTGTTATTGCTATGGACATATTTCACAGTGCTGAAGACTCAATGGAAAGTGTTGAAAATTTTCCAGGAGATCTTGGTGATATCCAGTTCCCTTCAACATCGGGTGTAAAAAGCACAGACCCATTTGAGGTGTCTGAGCTAAACTATAGCAATCAAGCACAACAGAGTGTGTGCCCTGCTGTAATTAGGAGGGTTGGTGATATTGGTGGTAGTAGCACAAATGACGAGGAAGTATTAAATGCAGATACTGCAACTGCTCACACAAGGGATGCCATTAGTTTTGGGATTAGTGCTGGAAGCATAGGAATGGGAGCTAGCCATGAAGCTGAAATCCATGGGATGGAAACTTCTGTGCACAGAACTGATAGCGTAGTTGGTGATGTGGAACCAATTGCTGAAATAACTGAAAACGAGGGTCAAACTGGTGAATTTGGTCCTGATCCTGGCCTTATGGGTGACTATGTCCCTGAGGAGATAGACATGGAGGACCGTCATGGTGATAGTCAAGATCTAACATCTCGATTAGTGGGAAGAGCTGACAGCGGTTCAAAAGTTTTTGGCTCAACCAAGGAAGAATCCACGGAGAGTGCTGAGAAGCCTAACCATGGGCATCCTCTGCCTGATAATAGAGCACATCCATCTTTTTCTCAGAATGCTATTATATTGTCTGTCTACGAGACATCAAAGGAAGAAGTTAACCAGGCTGCCAATGCAGTGGCTACTGAAGATGGTGGACTTGTGGTGGAGTCAGGCTTTTTATTTTCCAAGGGGGGAGGTAATGCATCTCTGTCTTTTTGTCCAACTCATGTCCTTACTACCACCTTCTCGTATATGGATGCTGAATCACTAGAAGTGTTGATAAATATGCATGGTAATAAAATCTGACTAATTTGTTTGCCTTCAGTAATTAGACTCTACCCAGTATGATGAAAGAAAGGGTTAACTTAGTGCTCACCACACTTACATTAAGAATGTCCTGGTGGCAGCATGATTAATTTATTTGACTTTTAATTAGACTCTGCCTTGTATGATGAAGTAAAGGACTAACTTAAACATCTTGGTAGTAACGTGATCATCATATTGAATACTCCTTCCCGATTTAATTGCCACACATCCTTTTTTGCTGGTTTTTGGGATGTCCCAAAAAAGTTAACATACTTTTTTGTATTCCTAGGAACATAAAGAATATGTGGTCCACAATTCTTCTTCTTCTTCTAACAAATTTCAACCACTCCTTACTTTTCAACACTTTCCTTAGATTCCATGAGGTCAAGCGATCTAAATTAAATCAGGGACGAAGGGAGGATTGTTTTGTTGATGGAATGTTTCCTCGGCTATTGCATCTATATAGAGCTTGTGACATCTCAGCTATTTATAATGGATTGTTTAATGGGCCATTGCAGTTTATCATTTACTATTTTACTCCCTCCTTTAAATAAACTTCTATCTTTGACTTCCATGGAGTTTAAGAAAATTGTTGAAATGTGAAAAAGGAGTGGTTAGAATTTGATATTTGGAGAGATTTTTTTAGGCCACATAATTCTTTACTTTTTTAAGAAAGTGAGTATTATTTTGGGACATCCGAAAAAAGGAAAGAAGATTATTCATAGACGGTTGGAGTATTTCAGTATATGATATGATAATGGTTATGACAAATAAATTAATTTCTTATCCAATCAATTTCCTTCCTTCTGCTATCTATTTGATTTGGTTAAATAGTTTCACTTCAATATATTAAATTTTATTTGTCCTTCAGGTCCTCCCAACGGAGAAAGTGGATATAAAGAAGCTGTTGAATTTGATCCTGTTAACCACCATAACCCCTTCTGCCCTTGGGTCAATGGAAATGTTGCGGCAGCAGGCTGTACCAGTAGTGGTGGTTCCAGCTCTAGTGCTGGTGCTCTTGCTCTTTGCGGTTGGCAACTAACTTTAGATGCTTTGGATTCCTTATCAATCGGAAACATTCCTGTGCAAACTGTGGAATCTGAATCTGCCGCTTCGCTGTATAAGGTATACAAATTTATTCTATACTCTAAAGTCTGAACCACATAAGTCTTTGTACAATAGTCATCTAGACCTTTTTCAATTTTTTGAGCTAGTATTCATGGAGTCGAGATTTCTCTTGTGCTTTCCTGCCAAAAGAGTGTTTTAATGTTAAGAGCATTCATTAAGATTCATTTTTTAGTTGCTATGATCCACACTTGCGTGTTTCTTCTTTGATGTTTCGGTTCACATGGTGTTGTGTAAGAATAATTCTCTATGTTGTTCTGTCATTTAGTGGTTGTGGGTTGGTAAACTCCATTGTTGCAATTAATGTTTATAGGAATTTGTTTGTGTGACCCATTCCCATTTTGTTTTTGTAGGATGATCATCGATCTGCTGGTAAAAGAATCTTGCCTCGAAACTCATTTAGCAAAAGCCGTGGGGGGGATTAACTGAAAAGTCCAAGTGAGTTTGAACCTGATATTCATATTCTGCTACTACAACAATTTCTTTTACTCTGTAATAAACAAGTGTGCTTCACAATTTTTCTGAATCTAATATGAATGTAATGCTTTATGAGGAATTAGTATCGACAGAGAAAAAAGACCACTATTATTTCAAAAATGTGGACAGTTAGAGGAAGTGCAAATGAACTTTTTTTTTGTGTGCACCAGATAGCTACTAGCTAGACTCATTTCCTGTAAGCTCCAGATGAGACTAGGTTTATTCTTCTGTCAAATTATCTGTCTACTCCTTCGCATCTTGCTATTTTAAAAGAAAAAACAGCAACAAATGTTGTATTAGTATTTGCTGCCTGCGTCCTTAGAATCAATTTTCACTACATATTACAATTGAATTTTGGGTTTGGATTCAGGATTGTATAGGTCAATGACCCGGTGTTTCCTTCCCTTGTGGTGTTCCAATGACGAGGAGGTGCTGTTGCCCGTTTGTGGAGTGACGGAGATGAATTTGTAGGCGCAGCAACTCCTAGTGACTGCAATTCCTTGCTCAGTTTAATTTTATAAGTAGTAAAATAAGTAGTGTGATAACTACTCACTCTCCTAGCATGGCTTTGCCAATATAGGTTGAGAGAATTGCCAACAAGATGGGATTATATTTTATTATGGTATTTAATAGGAACGTTACAGAGCCCCTTGTTTATTCAGAGTGTTGGAATGGAATTCCTCTTCTTCTCATAACAGAAACAAATAAGTATACGGTAGGATTGTTGGGCTGAAGACGAGATCGCCTCACTTGTATGAATTCTAGTGCTGCACACATACTTCCGTAGTGTCTTTTTAATTTATACTTGGCTTCAACGAGTGTAACATTTATTTTTCAGTATGATTCAAAACAGTGTCGTGTAAGCTTAATATTTTTCCGTTCTAGAATTTTTGTCTAATTTGATTTTATTTTTTTATAGTAAAATCTGTTGACACCAATTCAATAAAAATCGCATTGCAAGATGGATTAATTCCCACTGCCTTTTCTTTTCTGATTGTCCATCAATCTTTATTTAAGGAAGGATGACTACGATATGCAAGGATCCTATTGACTCTTAGTTATAATACTCCGTATATGTTTAATACTGTATGATTTGGTTCATTTTAATACGCAATGTGTTTTGCTATATCAACGTACTTTTTACAAAATATATAATCCGTATCAAATATCAAACGTGTAAACATGAGAAGTCAAATGTAATGATCTTCACGCAACAACATACCGACCGAGTAATAATTTGATTAACACATCTTGAAGGTAACTTCCGTCAAATACAATTGTTTTTTTTGTACCGTTTCAAACGAACGCCCACAACATACAATCTTATGTCTAACTCGATCCGTACGTACTATTATTACACATAGTATATAGTTGCTGTACTTTAATTAGCTAAGCCCCACACGTGAATGATGCGGGTCGGGATGGTGATGAGATCATAGCTGAGCTAGCGGCGGGCATTCATTTTATTCATATATAAGATCCATCCATCAGATAGTCGAAAATTCTACGCCTTTGTTGTCATTGTTGCTAGTAGTGGTGTAGGTGGAGGCGGAGGCAACGGCTAGTGGGGGATCGTACTTGGTGAAGAGTCTGTAGGAGGAAATGAGGGAAATCCCGGCGTAACAGAGGCTGACGACGAAGGTGATGGCCACCGATGCCGTGGCCTTGCGGCAAAACCCGCTAATCGAGCCGCAACTCTCACCCCACGCGGTGGCGTTGTTCCCCTTGTAGGATAGGTACACCACCTCTGTTGCCAATGCTCCAGCACCCAATATTATGTACGTCAACATCTGTACCAATTCAAACAAACTCTTAGAGTTAGTTCTCACACCACATACATTGAAATAGAAAGAGAAGTGAGACTAGCACATATAGAAGAAGGGTGAAGTCTAATCCATTAGCTTAATCTTTTGATTTAATAGTGAATGAACTCCAACACTCCACCCGTTGTTCACGGTTCTCTGTCATTTAAACCATTAGTACGGCTATAGTTCTAATACTCTGTACGTCTTGACTATTCAATTATACTATTTTAATATATTTTGAGAATAAATTATACACTTTTTTCTTTCTTATTTAGGAATGAAATAAATACGTGGCTCATCATTTTTTTCTCTCCTCGAATTAAATTTTAGTTATCCATTTTTGTTAGCGTAGTATATTTGTAAATATTTGTTTATCATGTATTGGGCTATGTACATTATGGGCCCGTAGCTAGTATACTCCGTCATGTATATATACTTCCTATGACTAATGAAAAACACAAGTTTCACGTCCAATATTTTCTACGAGGGTTAGTTTCCAAACCCCTACTCTCGTGTCGTTGGTGCGCCGCCCGTCTGTCTCTCTCGGCGGTGCTGTTCGTTGTAGGTGCGTCGAAGTCAGAGCTCGTCGGCCCTCCTTCGCTGAGCAGATCCGGAAGGTTTGTTCCAGTCCAGCATCGTGCGTCAAGCTTTGTCCTCTGCAAACTTCGTCCGTCCAGCATTGTCAGGTCTGTTCGTCCGCCGACAAGTCCGTCTGTCCGCCGCTCGTAATCCACAATTCGGCCAGATTTCTGTCCGTTCTTGTCCAGATCCGCCCGTCCAGATCCACCCGTCCGTCTGTTCCAGCGATCCATCCGAGCAGATCTGCCCGTCCAGCGATCCGCCCAGCAGGTCTTCGTTCGTGCTGTCTTCGTCGACCTCCGTCCTTCAGCCGTCAATTTCAGCCGGTTCTTTCATCCTTCAGCAGTCAATTGCAGCCGAACCCTAAAAAAAAAATCTCATACCATGCCTGCCGAATTGTGTGGAGATAAAATGGTTTGGTTAATGTCTGTGATTGATTCTTTTTTGTCCAATCAAATGAATGGTATGACTTCTACATTTTGTGAGTGGTTAATTGATAGTGGAGCTTCACATCACATGACAGGATCTCTTTCACACTTATTTAATGTTGAGGATGTCTCTCCTCATTCCATATGTCTCCATGATGGGTCCCGTGTTCAGGCTGTCAGACAGGGAAGTGTGCATCTGTCTTCTCGTTTGGTACTACGTAACGTGTTATACGTACCAAACTTACATTGTCACTTGATTTCTGTTGGATGTTTAATTCGTGATAATACTTGTTATGTAACTTTTAATGATCATCGTTGTGTAATACAGGACCGTTCGTCAAAGATGGTGATTGGACAGGGTGATTTGCGAAACGGCGTGTATGTCTTTGGCTCAGTTCCCGCGTCAGCCCTCGTAGCCAACATCGATCCCTTTGTTCTTCATCAACGGTTAGGCCACCCCTCCGTGGATGTTCTCCCTTTTCTTAGTACTAATAAAACACAGTCTGTTGTCCAAAAATTACAGACTTGTGAAATTTGTTTTTTGTCCAAACAAACTCGTTCTCCGTTTCGTATTAGTGATCATAAAGCTGATGCTGTTTTTGATTTAATCCATTGTGATTTGTGGAGACCTTATTCACCTTGTATTTCATCTGAGGCAGATTATTTTCTGACAATTGTTAATGATTTTTCTCAGGCTGTCTAGGTTTATCTAATTAAATCAAAAAGTGAGGTCACTTCTTGTTTACGACGTTTCTTCACAATGATCCACACCCAATACTCCAAAATAATTAAAATTGTTCGTTCTGATAATGGTACTGAGTTTCTGAATTCTTCTTTGCGTCAATATTATGAGAGCTTGAGTGTATGTATTCAAACGTCTTGTGTTGGTACCCCACAACAAAATGGGCGGGTAGAACGTAAACATCGTCATATACTGAATGTGGCCCGATCCCTTATGTTCCAAGCGTCTCTTCCACTCGAATTTTGGGGGAAATGTGTCAAAACGGCTGTTTATTTAATCAATCGTACACCCACCAAAATTCTCGGGGGCAAATCACCACTTGAAATCCTTTCCTCCAAACCTCAAGATTTAAGTCATCTCCGGGTTTTTGGGTGCCTTTGTTTTGTCCATCCTGTTCCCAAACCCAAAAATAAATTCCACCCACGAAGTGTAAAGTGTGTGTTTGTGGGCTACCCATACGGTAACAAAGGGTGGAGAGTTTATAATCTTGACACACATAAGTTTTTTCACACGAGGGATATTTCGTTTGATGAAACTGTTTTTCCGTTCGCCATCCCCACTCCCTCGTCCAGCTCTCAACCTATTCTCACACCCTCCTCGATTGATTTCACCGTTGCTCCCGTACCGGCGACCTAGCAGCCTTCCCCGTCTCCCATCATCCCTGCCGTTCCGGTGACCCAGCAGCCCACCCAGCAATCCCCGTCACCGTCCCAGTCCCCGTCGGAATCTGCCACCCCCTCTGCCTCTTCCGATGACGACGACAACCCCGAGTCCTCCTCGGTGGAGACCACTTCTCCATCGCCGATACTTCCATCCCTTCCGTCTCGCACACGTCGTCGTCCGTCCCACCTAAACGACTATGTTCTCAATTCCGCAAAGACTGTCACTCTGGCTCCGGTCTCCTCCTGTTCCTCACAATCTGGTACTCGGTTCCCTATTACTAACTTTGTTCATTATTCTAAGTTGCATGACAGGTATAAGGGTTTTCTTGGAGCTATTGATGCCACCTCAGTTCCCCGTAATTTCCGTGAAGCTGTTCAGTTTGCTTCTTGGCGTGAGGCTATGACTACTGAGTACTTGGCTCTAGAGCGTAATCATACTTGGGATGTTGTAGATCTTCCTCCTAATCGCCGAGCCCTTGGTTGTCAGTGGGTATACAGGACCAAATTTCGGTCTGATGGTACTAAGGAGCGTGATAAGGCTCGCCTTGTTGTTTTAGGCAATCATCAGGAACTTGGTGTTGATTATACTGACACTTTTGCTCCTGTTGCCAAACTTGCTACTGTTCGTGTTTTGTTGTCTGTTGCAGTGGCTCGTGGTTGGCAGGTTGATCAGTTGGATGTTAATAATGCCTTCCTACATGGTGATTTACAGGATGAGATTTATATGAAACTACCCCCTNATGGTACTAAGGAGCGTGATAAGGCTCGCCTTGTTGTTTTAGGCAATCATCAGGAACTTGGTGTTGATTATACTGACACTTTTGCTCCTGTTGCCAAACTTGCTACTGTTCGTGTTTTGTTGTCTGTTGCAGTGGCTCGTGGTTGGCAGGTTGATCAGTTGGATGTTAATAATGCCTTCCTACATGGTGATTTACAGGATGAGATTTATATGAAACTACCCCCTGGCTATACTCATCTTTTTCCAGGGAAAGTTTGTCGTCTTCGAAAGTCCTTATACGGCCTTCGTCAGTCCCCTCGTAATTGGTTCACTAAGCTTCGCATTGCTCTACGACGATATGGTTTTCGTTAAGCCCACGCTGATCACACTCTTTTTGTTCTCCAGCGTGGCCCTGATATGTTGGTTGTGCTTGTTTATGTCGATGATATTCTGGTGGCAGGTAACAACAGGTCCTTATGTACGTCATTCAAGAAGTATTTAGATGAATGTTTTCATCTCAAGGATCTTGGTCCAGTTTCCTATTTTCTGGGGATTGAGTGTGCTCGCTCTCCAGATGGTATGGTCCTTACTCAGCGTAAGTATGCTCTTGACATTATTGATGAGGCCAACCTGCTTGGTTGCAAGCCTGTGGACACTCCATTACCGGTTAATCATAATTTGGCTCGATCTACCAGTGCTGAGATTCGTGATCCTCTGAAGTATCGTCGTCTTGTGGGTCCCTTGTTGTACCTGACCATTACTCGTCCGGATATTTGTTATGCCGTTCACACTCTTTCTCAGTTTAGGGCCCCGTCTCGATCATTGGAATGCGGCTCTTCGTGTCCTTCGTTATCTCAAAGGCCACCCTGGTCAGGGTATTTTGTTGCGCAGTGATAGTAATCTCGCCCTCACTGCCTTTTCTGATTCTGATTGGGCTAGTTGTCCCCTCACATGCAGATCTGTCACTGGTTATTTCATTCTATTGGGTGGCTCTCCAGTCTCATGGCGCACAAAGAAGCAGACTACAGTTTCTCGATCTTCTGCAGAGGCTGAGTATCGAGCTATGGCAAATGCTTGTGCCGAAATCCGTTGGTTGGGTGGGATCTTGGCCGCCTTAGACGTTCCTTGTGTAGCGACTCCTCGTTTATATTGTGACAACAAGTCTGCCTTGTTCATTACCGCTAATCCAGTATTTCATGAGCGTTCGAAGCATATTGATATCGATTGTCATATAGTCCGGGAATGCCTTCAGCGCAATCATATTGTCACCGCTTATGTTCCTACGTGTTTTCAGACAGCGGACATCTTCACAAAGGCTCTCTCCGGTCCTCTTTTTCACAACTTGTTGTCCAAGTTGGGCATTTATGATCTTCATGCTCCAACTTGAGGGGGAGTGTTAGCGTAGTATATTTGTAAATATTCGTTTATCATGTATTGGGCTATGTACATTATGGGCCCGTAGTTAGTATACTCCGTCATGTATATATACTTCCTGTGACTAATGGAAAATACAAGTTTCACGTCCAATATTTTCTACAATTTTTTATTTTTTATTTACGCATTTTGTAAATCGAGACGGTTCCCATGACATTGAAGTATATAATACAATTTTTATTTAGTTGGTGATTAATTTTTGTTTGATTTGATTATAAACATTTAACCGGATGAATGTTGCCAACTCCAATCGTACTCCTTTTTTCCTTATTTGCAGCAGTTTCTCCTCCAATAGTACTGAATTAGGAAGGAAAAATGGGGTACCCCATTTGTCCCCCACTCTCCTCCACCACATAAATAGGCAAAAAACTTAAAAATAAATAAATAATTAAAAATGAAATAAAAATGCGTGGTGGAGAAGAGGGTGGGGGACAAATGGGTACATCTTTGGTGTACTCTAGCATTGCTCATTAGAAAATTCAATTTGAATTTTAACACTCTCTCACCTCCTTGCAACCCCATATACTCCCTCCGTCCCTGAGTGTTTGTCCACTTTCATTTTTGCACACCATCCAATGCATTTCTTTAATCCATTTTATCTTGTAATTTGTATATTAAAAAATTATAAAAATTATATATTAATAATCTATATGTTAAGACGAATCAAACAAGATCACACATGACTATTTTTAGGCTTACACTTTGAGAGAATTTGACGAGTCAAAGTGCTTAGATAAATAGTTCCAAAAATCAAAAGTGGACAAACACTCAGGGACGGACCAAGTATGTGTTTTTTTGCTACTGCAAATTAGGTTTGACTTTGGAGCGAACTGCTAGAGATGGTGTAAGCACGTGTTACTTTTTAGAGCAATGCCAAGGGTACACCAAAGGTGTACTCCATTTGTCCTCCACCCCCTTCTCCACTACTCATTTTAAATCTACTTTTTATTTATTTAATTTTTTTTAAAAATTCTTGCCCATTTTTGTGGTAAAGGTGTACCCCTAGCATTTTTCTACTTTTTATCACATTTGAATTTTTTTAAAAGAAAAATGTCACAAACAAGTGGGGTGTGTTAAATGTAATAAAACTACTCCTTCCCTTCTAAAACGTTCTTTTTGTTCCTGTATACAAGGTTTGATCGAATTTATTTTCAATTTAATTTATTTGATTGTCAGTATAAAATAAAAAAATGAAATTTATTTATTTAAAAACTACATCAAAAGTTCTTCAAAGCAAAAGGTGATAAGACTATATTCTTTTATCAAATAATTAACCACAATAGGTAAAAAAATAATTAAAATTTGACCGTGTTAATAGTAACTGAGAAGAACTTTTTAGGACGGAAGAAGTACTACTTTTGTCCAAGAGGAAAATAACACTGGTAGGATTTTCCAAATACCGAGTATATTTAAATAAAATTACTCAAAACATGAGCAAAAATAGAAGTTATCTAAAAATAGAAGTGACATATTTTTTAATTAATTAAGACTATTATACTATGACAATCTCAAAGTGTATATCACCAATCCACTGCTTTGTTCTTATTGTCATTATGTTCTCTTTTGGAAATAAAGACATGAAAGTTCTAGTTTCTTAATATTTTTCATTGAATGTGTTTTTCTCTTATTTAATCGTTTCTTTATATTTAATGTGTCCTTTAACATTGGCTCTGGGTAATCTTTTTAAATTCATCCAGTCAAACTAAGAATTTAAGGAGTAATTGATTGAGAAAGTATGAACAAATGCTACTTTGAGGAAGCCCTGGTTTCTAACATTAATTGTAAGTAAGTAGGGGAGGTAAAAAAATTCCCATTTCAGTATCAGTGTATTTGTTGAGTTTGATTTTTCAGAGTTAAATTAGAAGAATTTTAATCATCAATAACTCTTAGCTTGTATTGTATTTTAATACAATAAAATAAATTTTATAAAGTTCCAAAATAAATCTAACCAGATCATTTTCAGATTAATAATCGTTATAATTTTTATTTATTTTTACTCCAAAATATATGGGAAAAAGACTTAAGTATCAGTGAAACATTGAGAATATACCAAAATAAAAGTTCCATATTTTTATTTTCGAATACGAGTTGTAAAATACATTTAGATTACCAATCATGATCACGTGCATTTCCAAAAAGTATAGTAAAATGATTGTATACAGTGTCACATATTATTATCATAGTACGAGTTCCTATTTAGAGAATAAAAATATGAAATTCCTATTATTCCTGTTTAGGATGATTTTTTAAAATATATATCCAATTTAAATAAAAAAAATCAAAGTAACTAATTAACGAAGCGGGGTAGGTAGGAATTGAAGTAGGAAGGAATTATTGGAACCTGATCTACGAGGAAGAAGGTCCAGGCGCGAGGCAGAGTGGTTGGCCTTGGCATGGCCGCAACCACCGCTGTTAGAAGTGAATACCCTGCACATATCCCATTTGCATGTACCAAATACCTACAGAATATTTCAAAGAGAAAAGTGTATTGTTTACTCCAGAATTCTTTAGAAATTAAATGTTTTATCTCTGAACATTAAAAATGATATCAAATAGCCCTGCGTTCTTGATAGAATTTAGGATGAGTATGGAAAACTGGATTGGGCTATAAGATACTTGGACTGAACCACGTTAAAAGATTGAATCAATCGATTAGTTAGTTCAAGTCAATAGTTTATATACCGATTAATTTCCTCACACTTTTCCGATGTGGGATACTCTTAACACTCCCCCTCAAGTGGACGACCGGGCCATTTTGAATATAACCGGTTGACCACTTGCAAATGAACTCCCATCCCCTTGATTTTTTTTGAGCGCTAACACCTAAAGGACCACGAGCCGCTGGGAATGGACATTCGGACGAGCAATCGTGTTAAACGGGCCACAGACCGTTGGATACATACTCTTTACGGACAACTGGGCTAAAGACAAACGGGCCGCTAGGAATGAACGTCTAGACGGACACCTTGACAAACGAGGTGGATCAAAACTTGCTCTGATACCATGATAGAATTTAGGATGAGTATGGAAAACTGGATTGGGCTATAAGACACTTGGGCTGAACCACATTAAAAGATTGAATCCAATCAATTAGTTAGTTCAACTCAAGAGCTTATATACCGATTAATTTCCTCACACTTTTCCGATGTGGGATACTCTTAACAGTTCTTTAAAAATTACACAGTTTACCCCTGAACATTTAAATAAAAACGATAATTTTGGAGAAAGGTATTTTGGAGAATTCACAAGGGTCAGATGAATCATACTCGCAATTCTCGTGCGCGGGAGCAACACACTCCCTATCTAGCATCTCAGGAGCAATGATGGAACGTTTTAAATTGTTTAGCGGTATTTGGTGCACTTTTTAATATTTATGGGTAAATCATGCAATTTTCGAAGAGTTCGAGGCTAAATGGTGTATTCTTAATGTTCAAGGATAAACTATGCAATTTACAAAGACTTCAGAAGTAAACAGGTGCACTTTTCTCATATTTTAAATATATTCTTTTGTGAAGCCTAGGTCCATGTTTATTTTATAAACTTTAGTATATGATGTATATCAAAAGACGATTAGACTTTTGTAATGAAGAAACAAATTATATGTCAGACTTGTGAGAAGATTCACATTTTATGTAGACATTAAGACCATGAAAACACAATTCAATATCTTATACACAAGACCACCACCTTCCCAAATTATTCATCAATTTTGTTTTCAAAATATGATGAACACCATTCCTAGGAGTATGAAAGAAAATGCCAATGAGTGCGCGGCGTCTATCATGAAAAGAAATGACTAAATGAAAGAAATAATGTGAGTTAAATGCATGTATGGTACTACGACATACTTAAAGGGTCCGAGGTCGGAGTAGGAGATGGAACCCAAGTCGTCGCTGTTTTGTGAGTTCTTGAGCATAATGAGGAGCGCCACGACGCAGAGTGCCACCGGGATGAGGCGGAGCAACGTCTCCGCCCTGCGCACGCCGCCATTGCTGCCGCTTCCCGGGGCGGTGTTTCCTCCCTCCTCATCCTCCATACCGGGCGGCCGCCGACCCGCAGCAGTAAACTAATTACTCTGTGTTTGAGAGTGATGAGTAGTAGTAATTGTCTTGTTTTGTTTTTTGTTTTTGCCTCCCCAACTGTTCGTCCTCAAAACTAACACGGCAATATATACTCCTAATTAAAGAAGGGATCGATGGAGAATCGTACGTATAGAATAGTAAAGCTTACTTATTATGAATGGAGGATGGGAGTGGGCATATATGCATTATTATTTTTATTATTAGTATTATTATTATGATAAACGGAGTATAGATGGATGGATGAGGGGAGAAGTAGTAGAAGGTAGTTGGCCCTGCACTAAATGCTCATCAAACCTTGTCACACCACACCACACCACTGCACGTTATCATATTTGAGCATGGAGGCTTTTTATAGTATTTGAATTTAATTCATCTCTCTCTCTCTCTTCATTCATTCATATCATTCATAGCTCTGCACTCTCTCTCTCTCTCTTCATTCATTCATATCATTCATAGCTCTGCACTCTGTACTCATCTATTTCCAAAACTGGATCTCTATCTTAAATACTTCCTCCGTCCTTAAAAGATTATTACAGTTTGATATTTTGTATTAAACTATGGCATCTTTCAATCATGAATTATGGAAAAAGTATATTTAATTACTATAATGTAAGCCTAGTAAAATTAAGTTTATTTTAAAATATAGTTTTGAAATACCAAATTTTCATAATATTAGGTGAATTCCCCATTTAATATTGCTGATCCAATACAATGCTACTAAATATTCCTTCCTTCCAAAAGAAATTCTGAATTTGACTTGAGACAAAGTTTAAAAAAATGAAAATGTCTGGTTGAAAGTGATGTATAGGTGGAGGGAGATTGTTTCATGAAAAAAAAAGAAATCTCTTTTTTTTTCATGAAAAAAAGAAATGTCTTTTTTAAACATCCAAAAAAGAAAATAAAGATTTTTTTGGAGGGAGATAGTTTCATATCCCTACGAGTACTTCCAATCCTTTACTATAATAAAGGAGACTCCAATTCACAAGCATTCGACATTTGGCATGTCTATTTGGCAATTTTTTAACATGTCAGCGCCATTAAATGTAATCCTTTACTATAATATTTTTTACTCATGTCTCCAAGAAATTGACGTGTGTCATCTTACATGACAATTTTTAAATGATATGACACATGAATAAATTACATGACATGCTTTAAATTCTCATTCATCATTTATTGAAATTTATTTATGATAATCTTTAAAATATGATGAGTTTAAAACAATATATTTTATATTGAAAAAATATGGATATTTTAATTTATTGAAAATTATGTAAATGCAATAAATGTTATTTTTCAACAAAAAGTAAATAAATTAATAATAAAAAAGAAACTAATCATTATTAGCCCGAGTCTTTTTCATAAAAATAAAAATCATATTAAAAGTCTTTTGAGTAAAATATAGTTTTTTAAAAATTATTAATTTATTATTTTGTATGAAACTTTATTGAGCTTAAATATACTCTCGAGTAGCTCATCTTATACCTTTAATTAAATATGAGAAACTTATTAAATAAATTTAGTGCATTATGGGTTTTTGTACATTAGATAATTTTTAATATGAAAAGTTTGTGGTTTAATGTATTCAATAACTTTTTTAATAATTAAAATTTCCTTAAATATATAATAGGGAGTATAAAAAATATATCAAGATTTAAATTTTGTTTGAGATATTTTATATATTTACATCAAAATATTGATAGTCTTTAAAAGTATTTATTTATGATAGAGACGTAGTTTATAAATGATAAAACTTTTATTTTTAAATGAAAGCATTTTTATAAAGGAAATATAAATTTTAAAAAGAATTGTTTTCATCCTTTTTATTAATAGGACTTTTAATTTTGAGCCTTTTTTTCTTTATTGGAACATAATTTTCATAGAGAAAATATATAACAGTAAAAATAGATCATTGAAAAAAATACAATCATGATATTCATATATTTACAGATTCAAGTATCGAATGACAACATATATTTTTTAATAGAATATATTAAAATAGTTTCAGCGCTCTAAATGGTTTGAAAAAGATATGAATACCTCATTTATTTTCAAAACTTATTTTAAAAACAATGTCTATCATTTAAAAAGGTTACACACGCACCACATCGATTCGTGCTATTTTACGTTCATTTTTATTAAAAGGGGGCATTGATACGCATTCCAATCAACATGAGCTGATGAACGTCAATGCATATTATCATTTTTTTTAGCTTATTTCATAAATAATTGTTCGTTATAATGTTTTAAAATTCAAAATTGGTTTATATTTGAAATAAAAATCAAAATTAAAAAAAGCATATACTTTCCTCATCTAAAGTTAAACATTTTTGTTTTTATAAATTTGGATGAAAAGTATTATTGTTTATTTGGTGCATATGCATTTGAATGAAAACAAAATATTAATTTCGTAAAATAGTAATACACAGAGATTCTACATCCACTCATTTTAGGTGGTTCTAGATAACACTAGCTTTAATAGAAGTATCTACGGTGCAGGTTCACAAAATTAATGATTCCTACCCTCGACACCCGGGTAAATCCCCACCTTAGAGCAAGTGGCTCCAGAATCATTTCGATAAAGTCGTAATAATAATAATAATAATAATAATGATAATAATAATAATAATAATAATAATAATAATAATAATAATAATAATAATAATAATAATAATAATACAAAAAATGCATGCAAAGAATTTTTTAAACACTATTGAAAAGAATCAGAAGAAGTTAGATAAAACTAAAAGAGAGGAAAAAACATAATGACTTTTCCTAAATAGCAACATATATTTTTTATTTCTCCATGTAGCACTTTTAGTCGTTATTCATTAGTCATTATTAAAATAAATGTTCACCATCACAGGATATTATTTTCCTTCTAGACATTATCAAGTGTTATTTAAGAGATAGAAAATTTAAGTCTTATATTGAGAAATGACTTATGTTTTAGTTCTGTTTATTAGTACAGATATTTCTCATACTTATTGTTTCTAAATTGCATTTCACAGAAAAAACATTTGGTGAAAATATATCTTCATTAAAAAAATTAATTCATGATGATGAGATTAAACTTAAATATATTCATTATAAACAAACACTCAATATATACCTTTATAAATGAAAATCTTTGTATTACTATGTGGTGATGTTTTATGTGAATAGTAGGAAAAAGTAGATTGATCATATCTATAGTTAACACCTTAAAATTAATCTAAATTTAACATCAATTTAGACTTGGTTAAGAATACCTTATAATATTTTTTATGTGGTGATGTTTTATGTGAATAGAGGAAAAAAATTTATGATCTGTATTTACTATTCTTTATGATGGTATTACAGGTACAGGTGGAGAGGCATTGTCGTCAGGTACAACGCCGCACCGCCAAACACACACAAGAAGGAATGTACTTTGCGATGTGACAAATGAATGATATTTATAAATTTTGAATAAAAAAATTAATTAATCCATTTTTTAGTTTGTGGAAGGGTTACTTATGAAGTAAAACATCACAAAATGTAATTTTAACAACTTTAAAATTTTATATATACAATGCTTCAATCATGGAATAAATGTACATCCATCTCAGCACATTTATATGTGCAAAAAAGACAAAGAAGTAGTTGAAATGATAACTTAATTTGTCTTATCCCTCATTCTTTGTGATGAAAAGGAATACTAGAGTTCTGATTCTTCGTGCTAACCAGATGTAGATGTAGGTATTGATGGCGATTGGATAAGAGTTGAGTTCTTGAATGAAATCAAATCATCGAGAATTCCAAACCACAAAATAGTTTTAAAAAAAGGGGTACTGATTATGCTATTGATCTGAGGAACATTGACCAAATATCTGGATTGTGTAATAGGACAAGATTAATCTTTCAAGAGATGCGAAATAATGTTATCAGTGCAATTGTGGTTTCAGGAAATTGAGTCGGAGAAAAGGTTTATCCCTAGAATGAATTTAGTACCACCTAATCCAGGACTACCCTTGAAGTTCTAAAGAAGACAATTCTCGATCGCCTTATGTTTGCTATGACTATCAATAAAAGTAGTTAAGGTCAAACATTTTCATTTTTAGGATTGTTTTTAACCAAATTAGTGTTTACACATGGTCAACTTTATGTTGCTGTTTCACGAGTGAAGACAAAGACATGATCAAAGATATTGATCCTAGATGACAATTAAAAACCCTTGCAACCATACTAAAAATGTTGTATATCCTGAAGTCTTTTAAAAAATTTGGTATTAAAATAAACATTGTTAACTCTACATTCAGCTCCTTAAATAGTATTAAGTTTACTTTGACATTTTCATCTACCGTATTAAAAATTATGTGAGCAATACATTTTCATTATCCCGAAAAATAAATTTCATTGAAATAATTCAAAATTGACATAAATTGCATTCAACCCCGTGCATGGCACGGGTCGGGATGCTAGTACAAATAAAATGCATCTTTTATTTTTTTCTGAGAATAATACAATGCATGTTGATGTTACTTATTTTGTTGGTTTGTGTTTTGTTTCTCGTGATCCAACTAACTCCTTGCTCACTGTTCAGTTTTAATCTGTTTCCCCATTTTGACCCATTGTCAAAATAAGGAAGTGTAAAATTTTTTAATTGATTTTAAAATTTGTCTTTGATGTAATGGATAAATGTAAGATATAATGAATAGATTATTAGAGAAAAAGTTTGATGTGATAGGTAGGGTAATAAAAAAAATATAGGTAAAATTATGTGAGAAAGACCAAAGTAGGACTAAAACATTGAAAATATACCAAAATAAGACTTCCATGTTTTTTTTCGAAATAGGACTTACATTACCAAACATGGTCATATACATTACCAAAAAAGTATAGTAATGTGCACATGTGCACTGCCACATTACCACAAGGGAAAGTCACATTACCACAGTGCAAAGTCCTATTTCGGGAAAAAAACATAAAAGTCCTATTTTGGTACTTTTCTCTATGTTTTATTCCTATTTAAGGTGATTTCTATAAAATTAATTTTTTAATAGAAAGTAGAAGTATTTTGGTGGAAGAGAAAAAAATGAAAGATGAAGTACTTTTCCAAACGGAGAGAGCGTTACTTTCCTTCCATCCCTAAACGATTTGAACACTTTACTATCCAAAAATTACAGAAGCTTTTGTTTATATGTGTGTTTT